ATTGTTATAAGCACCTTGAAAGCTTCCAGATTATTTTTCAAGCCGTCCAACCGGGGGATTGGAAGGTGCCGATCTACACTCACCGATCACTTTATTAGGGTCACCTTGCTTGTGCCAAGAAAATATCCCCCACCAGCCTGAACTGTTGCTGCAAGGCAGGATGGATCCATGCTTTCATGTTGTTTTCGCCAAATTCTGACCCTACTATCTGAATGTCGCTGCAACCAGTCTACCCATTCTCCTCTGATACCAACAAGGCATTTTTAGTAACCACAATTGCTGCTCATTGGATATTTTCTCTTTTTTTCAGACCAAACCCTAGAGATGGTTGTGTGTGAAAATCCCAGTAGATCAGCAGTTTTTGAAATACTCAGACCAGTCCGCCTGGCATCAACAACCGTGCCACGTTCAAAGTCACCTAAATCCCCTTTCTTCCCCATTATGATGCTCGGTTTGAACTTCAGCAAGTCATCTTCACCATGTCTACATGCCTAAATGCATTGAGTTGCTGCCATGTGATTTGCCGATTAGCAATTTGTGTTACTAAGCAATTGAACAGGTGTACCTAATAAAGTGGCTTATTGCGTTTACATAATCTCATTCTGCTGGCATTCCAGAGGTATATGAGATTTGCAGTCACACTAGTCCATCTACAATTTCAATATCTGCCTTTTTGCCTCTGCACATCCCCAAAAGTATTCACAAAAGTCCTCATATCTGTCTCAGCTTCCCTGAGAGGGGTATACCCAGATGACAATCTGCACCTAGCAAAAAGTCCAGACCAGCTCACAGTGCAGAAAGATATTCTTATAACGACATTGAGGAACTGGAATTCACGACATTGAGGAATTAGTTGATCAACCAAGAAAAAGTCAGTTGTACCCAACACAACAGATGGTATATCAGGGTGCAGTGTTTGACACCTCAAAAGAATCGGTATCTCTGCCACTACAAAAAATATGAAGTATTTTACAGAGAATGCTCAGAGTTGTGATTCATTCCCATCTAATGGCCACACACTGTTTAAGTCTGAGAGGCATTATGTTCATTTGTATCCCACTTGTGCTGTGGGCCCACTAGCACCTCAGACATTTCCAGATGGGATTCCTAACTCAACAGATGACATTTCTAAAGTGATCCAGAAAACTGCTGCCATGCAGAGAGGTCCCCTTAGGTTAGCCAAGAAGGAAGTATTCTCAAAAGACTTGCCCGTCATGTCCTGTCTCGTGGACGATAATTATGTAAAATGCCAGTATGAGGGGCTGGGGGACACACTGCCTAGAGAAGATAGTACAGGGATGTGAAGAGAGTTCAGGGATGTGGTAATTTCCCTCCACAGAAGTCATATCAAACGTAATTTGGGCAGCCCTCAGATCAAGAATTGTCCAGTGTTCTTAAAGTTGGAAAACAGAGCTGCGGTCTCATACATGCAGAAACAAGGGAATACCAACAGCAGATACTTACTAAGAGAGGTGGAGCCCACCATGCTATGGGCAGAAAGAAATCTTACGGACATGACAGCAGTATACCAACCAGACCACCTGAACATAGAAGCAGATGGTTTATGTCAAGTTTTCCCAGACAACAAATGGCCTTTAGCCCCTCATCTTCAATCAGATGATCAATCTCTTGGGCCCTCCTCAGACAGATTTGTTTACTTTCGCAGTAACATCAAGTTTCCAAGGTTCTTCTCATGCCTCCCCCACCACCTTGTGGAGGGGGTGGATTCTCTCTCATGTCCATGGAGGTGCAGTCAGGCCTATGCCTTCACTCCCCGGCCTCTTACCACAAAGTTCCTCTCAAGACTTGCAACTGAAGCAATAATAGTCAGAGTGGTCCTACCATATTGGCCGAGAAGGTTGTGGTTCCCTGTAGTGCGCCTCAATACCTACCCACTGGTGATGATTACTCTTGACTCTCACCTTCTGACCTGGGAAGGTTCAGCCCTCTGAATCCTTACAAGCTCGACCTTCAAATATGGAGATTAAAAAAGGAGGAAGTTTGAGTCCCTGGGCCACTAAAAGAAGTCATTTCGACTCTGAAGGCTAGGAAGTCTTCAACAAATAACGCATATGCCAAAAGTGGGACAAATTTGTGGCTTACACAGTTTGGGTAGGGATTAATCCTGTGGGGTTTATTTACTAAAGCTGGTTCGCTCAAAATCTTGTGCACTTCTGCATGGACACCAATCAGCTTACAGGTTTTATTGCTAAACCTTAATTGAACAGCCTGAGGTTAAAAGCTGATTGGCTACCATGCACAGGTGCAAAAGATTCCAAGTGAACCAGCTTTAGTAAATCTACCCTTATGCCTGCCTCAGCTTCTTACCTGTTCGGATATCTTCAGACCAGGCTCGACCTGGGCGTCAGTTTAGCCACTTGGAGATTTACCCCCCTTCATGACCAGGCCATTTTTTGCTTTTTGGCATTTCATTACTTTAACAATTGTGCAGTTATGCAATATTGTACACAAATGAAATTTATGTATTTTTTTTCACACAAATAAAGCTTTCTTTTATTTTTGTGCTATAAATGAAAAAAAATTTAAAATTAAACATTTTTTACTTTCGGCTATAAAACATTCAATAAATTAAATTTCTTTATAAATTTAGCCCAGTAAGTATTCTGCTGCATATTTCTGGTAAAAAAAAATCCCAATAAGCATATGCAACTATACTTGGTATATATACATATTTTTTTATACTAGTAATAGCAGCGATCAGCGACTTATAGCAGGACTGGGATAGTATGGTGGGCAATCTGACTTTGTGAGAACCAGTGACACTAAAACAGTGATCAATGTTAAAAATATACACGGTCACTGTACCAATGACACGTGCTAGGAAGGGGTTAAATGTGTGCCTAACCAGTGTTTATGTGTACACTGTGAGGTGCTTTCACTAAGGGATGCTCTGGTTTTTATTCCCTGCTGTATTGTTTACTTTGACACAGCTCTGCCCAGTCTTCCTCCCTGCCGATCAGCAGGTGCCAGCGGTCAGTCATTGGCCGGCGCACCCTACACGGAAGTGCCGGATCACATACTAGATACGTGATCTGTCACAGGAGACCTGCTTTGCTGCCGTACTCTTACAGGTGGCGGTCTGTAAGCGGTTAACTCAGATGTAAACTCTCACCTTGTAAAACGAGAGAGAGAGAGAGAGAGAGAGAGATTTACGACACCCGTGTGAGCCGAAGTCTGATCATAGGAGGAGAGCACAATGAGTTCTCAGCATGGCTACGGAACTGACCACAGTGTGCTCTCATGCATAGTGTAGTCAGTTTTTAATAGGAAAGCAAAGGGACTGGCAGGAACACCAGTACATGGTACAGCATGTACATGTCAGGAATATAAAATGCTCAGTTTACATATTCTTTAACCCCTTCCCGCTGGCATCACCTCCCGGAGGTGGGCATTCCAGTCATGTGATCGCTGTGATTTGCAGTCACATGATTGGAAAGCTCCTGAGTATGTATGCATCAGGAGCTTTCCTGTACCCCCCACTAACTGTGCTGGGAGAGCACACACTCTGAGGACAGGAAAATTTTTATATAGGGATCATATATGTAGCCTCTGAGCGTTAAAGCCCACCGGAAGGAACTGGTTAACTTCACTTAAGGCACAGGTAGTATCATTTGTATCATGTGTATCATGCATTTTAAAAAATGTGAATATTTTAAACGGGGGATTTTTTTCTATACCCACTGCACCTGTTAAGAGATTTGAGAAGAACTGGGCATATATATATATATATATATATGTCTGGGCAGTGTCAACAGACTAGAATGAGGAAGGGTGGCAAAGAAAGCAGGATAAAAGTGCATTGTGTAGGACAAAATTGTGCATAGGTGGGGGAGCAAGAGACATCATGGCCATACAAGTGCCATATTGTTGTACAGGGGGACAGAGAAAGCAGAATAATATTTGAGTCATGTATGAACATGCTCTTGCTGTTCTTTCCACTGTTGGGCAGGAACAACATTTCCCATGTCTGCACCATGTGCATAGCGATGTACAGAGTGTAGGGCTTAGGACTCTGACATGCAACACTTCACCTATGTTCAGGAGTCAGCCACGGGGAACTGTTCAGTGGTTCCAATATAAATAATATCTTAAAAGGACAACTGTACCCGTGGAATGTTTACATTACCTTGAGCAGCAATCCTGAACCCTCACTGACCTATATGGGGTTGTAACAGGAGGCATCCCCATCATCCAGAAAAGGATTAGAGGTAAAACAGTTTTTATATGTGTTTTAACTCTGTATTGTTTTGTTTGGCTTGGCTTGTATTGCCCTTTAGTAAAGTTTTTGTTAACTCTTATTACAAATATAACAATGGAACAAAAAGCCATGGAGAGCCACCAAAAAAGCTAAAAAGAAGAAAATTTGTAGGTCCTCACTCCTGAGACACTAAGCTAAAACTGAGCTCTGTGTTGCAGATGGGAGGTTTGGCCACCAGCAGAGGGCTACCCCTTGGGTGTATTTTGTTTGCACCGAGTGTCCAGCTACTGCAGTGGCGACATCAAACCCATCCATTATGAAGATTTGCTGTGTCCTTTATTGAACAAAAGAGAAATGTATGATTCAATAAAATCATCATGATATGTATAAAAAAAAAAAAAAAAAAATCAGAATAGTCGTGACAAAAAAAGTTCTATTATATTGAACAGAAATAAAAATAGGAGACCAGTTGGTAGGTCACCAAAATATTTTCCAAAGATTGCTACAAACAGTTCATTAAAGCTTGGTTGGTTGAAGGCTTATGCTCAACGAGGTCCAACAACCAGTCCTTCCCCTTCAGTAGTGTAGGCAATAGCAAAATGATAAAAGTTTGCTCCTTTTCAGCAAGGCCACCTGAAAACACTTTCAGTACTTCACACAGAAGACTCTGTGCTCCTCTTGATTCTTCCGTAACCTGCTTCATGCAACATTTTGCACTGACTTATTCACCGATATAAGAAGAGTCATTCTTCAGTCATTGTGTAGAATATACAGTCATGTTTCATTTACTAATTTTGGATTGTTTAATCTTGTGAATATCTTTGCTGCTCAGAATCAGCGCACCATTTCTAAACCTCCCCACCTGGCCATCTGGCACAAATCCTGATGATCCTTTTCCTTTCCTTGACCTTCTGTAAAACACAGAAATAAAACAGTAACAACAACTGAAATACAGTATATAGTGACAAGTTATTAAAATGATTTTTGCCAAAGTAACATCACTTCTCCACTGCCATATATTTAACACAAGAAAAGCGCTGAAGAATGGGTTTAAAATAAGCTTCTGTTCATTCTGCAAGCCACTCTAATGTATTCATCAATCATATGGCCTGGTATAGACTGATGACCTTAACCCCTTGACGCTGACGTAACACAAATATGCAGCCTCACAGAACTGGGCTTTTTTCCGTGGGGCCACATATTTGTGTACCTGTCTTTGTGCTGGGAGCGCGCAGTGCGACGCGGTCCCAGCACAAAGACCGGGATGCCACTGAGAGCCCCAGGTCCCATTCTAACAATCGGGACCCGGGACTCCCGATTCTGGGTCACAAGATTGCTGTGATAGCCTCTGATTGGCTATCACAGTGATCAGTCACTGTACAGCCTGGCCCCCTATGTTTTTTTTTTTCCCCTCTCTCTATGAATGGAGGAGAGAGGTACATTGTATCTCTCTAATTCCTGGCATAGAGGGAAAAAAATGTTTGTTATAAAAAAATAAAATAAATATTAAAAAATTAAATAAAGAATAAAGAAAAAATACATAGATCAAGGTTTGATCTAGTTCAGTGCCAGGGTAAGTGTTTGGGACACCAAATAAATTGGTGTCAGTGTGTTTTAGGTAAACAAAATGTGCACTATTGTTTCTGGGCTGTACTACGGGTACAAACAACAAATAACATACACATATATGGTATCGCTGCGATCGCCAAGAGCTGGAAAATTTATTTTGGGTTGCTCTTTGGTGGTAGGTTATGGTAGTAACAAGAAACACACAGCTAAATAAAAAAAATGTTTTTTTTTACTATTTTGGGACAGTTTTCCTTTGATAATAAAAAAAAAAAAAAAAAAATCAGGAGATATCCATTACCATTTACCACCAAATATAAGCTCAATTTGTCCTAAAAAAAAAAAAAAAAAAAAAAAAAAAAAGGTACAATTCACCTGGATGTACAAAGTAGTTGTGATGATATGTACGGTTTTACTAACACATGTCAACGTTGCAAAATTGTGCTTAGGCATTAAGATTTGTTTTACCCTTAGGTGTGAAGGGGTTAAAGCAGAAAAATAGCCATTTTCCAAAAATATTACAAACAGAAAGGTTTTTATAGCAGAAAGGACAAGCTAGGTCTCTTCCACAACTACAGTACCTGTTTGTATTCTTCTTTGTGTGTACACCGTACAATCCCAACATCTGCCGGGTACAGGGTTAAATAAACTCCCATGCCCATGAGTGGGAGTTATATCATCCTGGGCTGTCCAATTAAAGGACAAGTAGGGCCAAAGTCTATTTTGACCCTACTTCTCCTGTAGGTCACAGTAGTGCACTTAGTTAAGCACTCCTGTGACCCATATTCAGCAGACAGTGGGCTAAAGACCACTGATGGCTGATGTCACTGAGCCCTTTCAGGTTCTGGAGCAATCCTGACTTTAAAGTCGGAATCCACCTAGATTCCTGCCCAACAGCTGGCTCAGCCTTTCATCGAGCTGCTGACAGCCTAAGCCAGCCACTCCCACACCCTCCAAAGCCCGGTACTCCAGTGAATAGGCAGAGCAGAGAGCCGGTGACTGACAGTCACTGGCTTTTTTCTCACTGAAGAACCAAGCGATCAGCTGCTTTTTATTGCTCACTTACCAGTCTCAGAGGCAGCGTGGAAAAGATGCAGCACTGGACTGATGCTGCAACTACCTATGCGAGTATGCAAGTTTATTTATTTTTTAATTCCCAAACTTCTTCTTTAAGATGGCCAAAGATGCCGAAACCAGGAAGAAGCCACATAGGGGATACTAGTGCTGGAGAGGCAGCTAGCGGATATTGCATCGCTAGAGAAGAGGTGAATATAGTTCTGCTTAACCACTTCAAGTTGGACACTTTTACCCCTTTCCAGTCCAGGCCAATTTTCAGCTTTCAGCGCTATCGCACTTTGAATGACAATTGTGCAGTCATGCAACACTGTACCCATATTAATTTTTTAGAATTTTTTTGAGACAGATAAACTTTATTTTGGTGGTATTTATTCACCACTGGGATTTTTTTTTTTGCTATATAAATGACAAATTCCAAAAAAAGTGTTGCAAATAATCTTTCCTCATAAATCTTGGCCTAAAATGTATTCATCTATCTTTTTAGTAAAAAAACAAAAAACCCACATTTAGTTTATAACCAAAAATTATAATTTTCAAAATAATTTTTTACATTTTTATTTTATTTTTTTTATATATATATTTTTTTTAATATACTGTCACCCTAGCAGTACAGTGTCACCATAGTGAGCTTGTGAGGCAATAAAAGCAATAATTTCATCTTCTCTTTGGCTGCTTTCCTGCAGTCATTAAGAAATACTGTGCGAGCTGTGATTGGTCACAGCTTGTCACATGGTACAAGGCTGTTGTGAATAGCTTTGTACCATGTGACCTCTGTGATCATTCACAGATTTCAAAAGTAGTAAGCAATGATGTTAGGAAGTGACATCTTGTTTACTACTATTCATGTGATCACCAATTGGCCAATCAGTGATCACATCAATCGGGATCACACTCAGAGGTCAGAGGTCCCGTACAGCAATCTGTGTTCCGCTGTGTCATCTGGACACCGATCACGGTGCTGTGTGCTACCAGGGAGCGTGCACAGGCAATGGATGCGGGGGAATGTTTAGAAAAGTCCACCCGCTTCGGCGGCACTCCCGTCTGGCTGTTTATCAGGCTGGACGGGAAGAGGTTAAAGTACTGTATATCTAAACCAAATAACTCATATCTTAAACAAGCTTTCCCATATTAATATAATTTCAGAAGTTGTTTTCAACCTTTTTAAATAAGCAGCTTTCATTAAACTTTTACCAGATGACCCTGAAATTAGGTTCCTTGTTCAGGCACTTCCCATTATGGAGTGACAACTGTGTCCCATTTGTGTTGTAACCCTTTTACACATCCCCTGGATAGTGGCAATAAGAGGCCATGCTGATACATGTTGTACAAGCCTGATCCACTGCTGTCACTATGAAGAACCTAGCACAAAACACATGCATGTAAACCGAAAGTGACGGAAAAGGGCTGGAAGAGATCAGCGGAACTGAGAGGCAAAACTAGAATGAATAAAGTAAAAACCCTTTTTTTAAAAAAAAAAAAAACAAAAAAAAAAAAACAAACTGCATTTATTTATGATATACAACGCTTTAGCAGACAAACTATCATCCAGTTTTGGTTCAGATATTTTTAACTGATCAGCATTTTGCTCTGTTGTGGACACACACAGAAACACCTTTTGATGTTCCAAGGTGGTTTAGCTCAACAAATGAAAGAGTATATAAACTCCAACAATTAACTTCTTGTATGTGCTCCCTTTTGGTCTGTTAAACATACTATTGAAACTGGTTTGTTACTATGTTTGATAAGTGCATAATATACCTGCTGATCCTGCTAGAAATCAAGTGTGCTCATTTTTTGTGCACCCTGCTGCAGTCTCCATCATTTACAGCTTACCTATAGGCTACATAACCCCCCCCCCCCCCATGTTATGCAGATTGTAGAGTGGGAGGTGATTTGTAGTCCTAACACACTTTTTGTTCTACTGTGACAATGCTGCTCTTTCATAGACACACTACAGCGAGTATGCATCATCACCCTAGAACAAGAAGTTACTGGCAGGATCACCAGCTGAAAATAAGGGCTAAACGCCTGAAAAAAAAGAAAACGAATGCAGTTGTCACATCTAAGCTGCAATATTACATTTTATTCATGGGTTTAGATTTACTTTAAATATGATGTAATAATAACGTCACTGCCCCAACTCTCCATCTTGTCGAATCAGAGAACACTTTGCATTAATTTAGAAAATGCAAAGCATTCTCTGACCGACACCTGTGCCAAGCAACTGACCTTTATTCAGAATGCAAGAGGTCAGATGCTCAGCATGGGACTTTAACCACCTCACGTCCGGCCGTTGTATATAAACGGCCGGACGGTGGCAGTGCAGGGTCGGGTGGCCATTTATAAACGGCCTCCCTGCCCCCTGCTTGTGTGCGCACCCTGGGAGCATGCAGCACCGCGATCTGGTGCCCGCTGTGTCCTCTGGACACAGTGGAACACCGATCGTCGTACGGTACCTCTGTGCGAGGTCCCGATCATGTGATCACTGATTGGCCAATCAGTGATCACATGCAGAGTAGTAAGCAAGATGTCACTTTTGACCACTGCTTACTATGTGTGAAATCTGTGAATGATCACAGAGGTCACATGGTACAAGGCTATTCACAACAGCCTTGTACCATGTGACAAGCTGTGACCAATCACAGCTCACACAGTAGTTCAAGAATGCAGCCAGAGAGAAGGAGAAATGATTGCTTTTACAGCCTTTATGGGTGTAAAAGCAATCAATGTAAAAAAAAACAAACATCTTCATCACCCCCCACAAGTAGTACAGTGTCACCATGGTGACACTGTACTGCTAGGGTGACAATATGTAAAAAAAAAAAAAAAAAAAACAAATAATAATATAAAAAATAAAATTAAAATGTAAAAAAAAAAGTTTCAAAATTATAATTTTTGGTTATAAACTAATTTGGGTTATTTTTTTTTTACTAAAAAGATAACTGAATAAATTGTGGCCAAGATTTATGATGAAATATTATTTATTTGCAAAATTTTATAAGAAAAACACTTTTTTCAAAATTTTTGGACTTTTTCATTTACATAGCAAAAAAAATTAAAATCCCAGTGGTGAATAAATACCACCAAAATAAAGCTTTATCGGTCTCAAAAAAATATTTAAAAATGCATATGGATACAGTGTTGCATGACCGCGCAATTGTCATTAAAAGTGTGATAGCACTGAAAGCTAAAAATTGGCCTGAACAGGAAGGGGGTAAAAGTGTCCGGACTTGAAATGGTTAAAGGAAGTGGCGATCACTGGAGTACAAGCATTGACTGCTTCAGTGATTTCATGTTTCTAGGGTCATTGGTCAGGTATGGTATATACAGCAATGTAGCTATGTATAAATTATCCATACTTGGAATTCATCTATAATGTGTGAATAAAACAGTTAAATAGTATTATGGAGGACAATCTTCCTACGATAACATAAACCACACACAGGCTCACCTGACATTCTGTCCTTGTTTCTGTTTTTTTCTTACTGGTTCCGTGATATTTTCCTATTTTTGAAGAATAAGGAAGATCATGGTAAAACTAGGGAAAAACAACTAGCAGTAACAATGTAACAAAACAATAACAAAAGATTATTATTTCCCTGTCAAAGTAGTTGTAAACCTTAAACATGGAAGACAAACAAAGCACATCCTTCTATAGAGAGTACTAGCCTGAATCTAAAGCACCAAGTGTCATTTCTGTCTGATCTCGCTTTCCTCTGCTATTTGCATGAGTCACTGTTAATAGTCTATGACGATTCCACAGCCTCCCAGGAGATGAACCACCTTGCCTGCCCCCCTTCCCATCAGCACACAGCAGGTGAATGACAGCCTCAGCTCTGTATAATTCCCAATTTTTCTCTTATGCTCTAGCTCTACCCCACCCCCTACTTTCTACTGATGAGAAAAATCTTTTGATCTGTGTTTTTCAAAGTTGTAATGGTGAAAGGGCTGCATATAACCAGGCACAATGTATGAAGGCGGATTTGTTTCATCTTTGTGTATCATCTGAGGCCAGTCACTTCAGTAGGTATATGTAAGAGTTTACAACCACTTTAACCTCCCTAGCGGTCTGATTATTTCAGATTTTTGGTGCTGAAAGCGGTACCATTTTTGTGCATGGAAATATGTAGTTTTTTTTATTGTAGGCTGTAATTTTTAGGAATAACTCACTGAAATCTGTCCGAACAAGAGTCTATTAAACATCCCGGGTATGATAAAATTTGAAACACGAAATCATAAATTATAATTTAATAAATAATCATAACAAAATAATAATATAATAATAATACATTTAATTCAATAATATAATCAAACCAAAAACACTGAATTTGAAATATAGCGCCAAGTTCGCACATCGCTGAGCAAAGTCGCAAAATCGTTTTCAGTGTCTGATGACGAATTTCCCCACGAATCATCACTCAATTCTGCAAGTAGTTCTGATTTACTATCGCTGTTCTCTAGCTGATCTAAACCCACTTTTGACCTAAAGGGACACTTTTTGGACGCCATGGACTTTTCTCAGTTTCCAGGCAGAAAGAACAGACAAAATGCAGGCAGGGCACAGGACAAAGCACTAGGGACAATATGTATGTGAAATGGGTTGAAACAGCAATGTTTTGCTATGTAAAATTTGTTTGGAAAAAAATGAAATTTTTTAAAATTTTCAAATTTCCCGCCGGCGCCCGTACGTCCCGACGTCACAAGGACCGGAACACAGAAGCCGGATGCCAGCATCGGCTGGAGGAGATGGCTGGGGACGCTGCAGGGGACACATCGTGGGAGGGATGGACAAGGTAAGCTCTGCAGTGCCGCATGGTAAGCCCGAGTGTAGCTCAGGGTTACCGCTTTTGGTACTGAAATTTTACCCCGAGCTACACTCGGGAATACCACCAGGGAGGTTAAAGAAAAATAATATGTCATGACAGAAGCAAAGGGCTGTCACTGCTGACTTGTTTTGAGAAAATGCTAGTTGTCAAGCTGTCATGCTGATCCCAATGATTCAGAACTCTGAATAGGTGACCCAGCATAAAACTGCAAAAAGGGTCTTCCGATGATTCTCCAACTTTCCTGATCTGTATACATGCTGTAGGTCACTGACTCAAACTACTGAAGCCAGAGGGTCTGAATAACAGCAAGCCAGGCTATTTGCTTCTAAGAGACCTGAACACATGTGACAAGCAAAAGGATGAAACTAAAGCAAATTGAAAAAGTATTTATGAAATAAAACTAAGAAAAAAAACAAACAAACAAAAATTCTCCAGTGGTTGCTATAGATTGCAGCAGTATATTGGGTAATATACAACTTCAACAGAGTGATGAGCAGAAAGACTACAGAGAACAGAGACAAGATTCTCAATAACAAGATTATATTAATAGAAATAAATACAGTAATATGAGCTTCACAAACCGTAAGGCTTCTTTCTTTTGTTTGTTCCTGTTCCTTTATCTTCTCTTGGAAAACTTTGTAGTTCACATATTCTCTTTTGGGGGGCTGGCAACACAAAATGTATATAAGGACATTTACAGTTTTATTGGTAAAATGTGAAATGATTATGCGCTTTCATGTCCATATTTTAAAACGAAGCAAACCAAAGATTAAATGACATTGAATCCCAATTTCAGAAAATGACTAAATGCACATGATGATGATAACTATATTGAAAATCCCACATCAATGTAGGCTGCTTGTGACTTTCATTAAATTATACTGATATTCTTCATGTAAACAATGTTTAAGTACTAATACCTATGCTGCCTAAAACAACAATAAAAATCTTATTTTAACCTCCACCATAGGCTTTTTGGTTTTAACCACTTGCCCTTCAGAGGATTTACTCCCCTTCCTGACCAGGCCATTTTTTACGATACGCCGCTGCGTTACTTTAACTGCCAATTGCGCGGTCATGCAACGCTGCACCCAATTGAAATTTATGTCTTTTTTTCCTCCACAAATGGAGCTTTCTTTTGGTGGTAGTTGATCAAATCTGCATTTTTTATTTTTTTTGTGCTATAAACAAAAAAAGACCAACAATTTTGAAAAAAAAAAAACCCTATATTTTTGACTTTTTGCTATTAAACATGTCCAGTAAAAAAATTTGAAAAATCAAACTACGTCATAAATTTAGGCCAAAATGTATTCTGCTACATATCTTTACTTAAAAAAAAAAAAACCCAATACGTGTAAATTAATTGGTTTATGTGAAAGTCATGGAGTCTACAAATGGCAGTATATATACTGGAATTTTTTTTTAATTTTTTTAAATACTAGTAATGGTGGCAATCAGTGACTTATAGCATTCTGACACTGGGGGGGAACTAAAGGCCACTGACATCCCCAATGACACTAATACAGTGATTAGTGCTAATAAAAAGTACTAAACACTGTACTAATGACACTGGGCAGGAAGGGGTTAAAATCTGGGGCAAAGGGTTAACTGTTTTACTATGTAAGCATGCTGCTTTGTGTTGCTCTGCTATGCAGAGCAACACAAAGCCGCATGCTGGTGCTGACAGGGGAGAGATCTGTATTACTTACATATAGACCTCTCCCCTGTCAGTGTTCCTCAGCAATTGCTGGGTGCTGGCAGGGAATCTCCGGCCGGGACCCGGTAATCGACAGCTGTAGCCGCCAATGTGTGGCCATCCCTGTTTGACAGAAGTCTTATCATTAGAGCAACTTGTGTTGAATTAAAAGGTTGGAAATCTTTTGTCGATCAGTGGCTACAGCCGATGGTCAGTGTATTCTGACAGTGCCAAGCTCCACTGTTACAATTCAATGTCTCGGAAGGGAAGGAATTCCTTCATCCACCTTGTTCAAGTGAATGGGGGAATCTATGCATTGTTTTTTAATTCAACCCACTTAATACACCTATTGGTCAGCTAGTCCAACCAATACATTGAAAAAGGACAGAAAGGACTTGGGAGGTGAAAACAGATATGCAAAAATTGGAGATTAGCATATACTGTAGCATCAGAATTACTGTTAAATCTGACATGCAACTTTCTCCAAATTTAAGCTTTGTGTATCTGCTCTAGTCTTGTGACCAACTGATTTCACCTTTGAATAAAGACTATACAGGTGTACCTTGGTTTACAAACGCCTCAGTTAACGTAATTTTCGGTTCACAAATGAAAATCCATTGAAAATAATGCCTCGGTTGACAAATGTTTTGCAAATTTTTATTCTCAATATGAAGTGTATGTCGGTGCCAATTTTTAAACGCAATTTCCAGCTTTTTTTTTCTTCACTATAGCTCACAGAATTAGCTGTCATTATCCCCAGAGTTAAAGGAAACATTGTTTCTTTTAACTTGGGGAAATAAACTAAAAAGGAAACTTTCTCTTTCTTTTAGTTGGGAGAAAAGTGACAGCTGAATCTTTGAGCTATAGTAAAGAAAAAAAAAGGCAGTAATTACATTTATTTAAAAACCGGCACCACAATAAATAAAAAACTGGCGTGGGGTCCCCCCCTCTCATCCATACCAAGCCCTTTGGGTCTGGTATGGGTTTTGAGGGGAACTCCCACGGCAAAATTCAGCATGCAGGCCGGCAGGTCAGGAAAGGGTGGGGGGTGGGGAAGACCACCCCAAAGCACCTTGTCCCCATGTTGATGGATACAAGGGCCTCTTCCCCACAACCCTGGCTGGTGGTTGTGGGGGTCTGCGGGCAAGAGGCCCTACCCCTTACATATTTAAGAGCTGTCAAACCACCGGAGCAGGCAGACTGCTAGGAGACATCGTCGGAAGCGGAGCCTTTTTTTTTTTTATGCTTTTTTCGGGTTGGCGGCAGACATCGTGAATGACGTTGGATCTACTGCAAATATTCTTTTATTTTAAAAAAAGGACTTGTCAAAGACCATGTCCTCCTGTCTTTTCTCACACACTTTTGTTTTTTGTGAATAAGTCACGGGATCATGTACCCCATACTCATCCACAGGGGGGGGGGGGGCTGGTATCTGGGGGCCCCCTTGTTAAAGGAGGCTTCCAGATTCCGATAAGCCCCCTACAACCATCGGCCAGGATTGTGGGGAAGAGGCCCTTGTCCCCCATCAACGTGCTTTTCACCCAAAGCACCCACCCCCCCATGTTGAGGGCATGTGGCTTGGTATGGTTCGGGGGGGGCGCTTGTTCGTCTCCCCCCCCCTTTCCTGACCTGCCAAGCTGCATGCTCAGATAAGGGTCTGGTATGGATTTTGGGGGGGACCCCCCTGTCATTTTTTTTTTTTTTAATTTTGGTGTGGAAGTTCCTCTCAAAATCCATACCAGACCCAAAGGGCTTGGTATGGATGGGAGGGGGGACCCCACGCTGTTTATTTTTTAAATTGCCGGCAATTCTTTCACATTCAGTTGTCATTCAGGAACCCCGCTGACAGCTGAAACATTAGCACATGGTTGTCACTACTAAAATACCGCATGACTTGATCAAATAACACATGCGGTATTTTAGTAGCGTTAACTTTTTTCTGACCTCCGGAACGGATTAATTGGTTTTCAATGCATTACTATGGGAAACGGCGTTTCGGTTTACAAATTTTTTGCTATACGAAAAGTCCTGCAGAACTAATTAAATTCATAAACCGAGGTATGCCTGTATATGAGCCATAGAAGAATTTCTGTATTGAAAGATAAATCCAGTAACACATTTTCTCTATTCACCGATATAACAAATTGACTCTAGGGAAGGCATGGCCTTCCAATAAGAAAATTAGATAAGCACCAAGGTTTCTGTCTATAGTTACCTTTGCTCCAAGCATAATTGCCCTCTCCTGTTCAAATTTCCTTTGTTTTTCTTTCTTGAAACCTGTGATACCAAACTTGTGAACCTCCAAACGTACCTGTGAAAAAAAAAAATTTCTATCTATTGGGCATTTGTGACAAAGCAGGCTAAAACAATGCCTTAAGAACATTCAACCAGAGGAGAAGATACTTTAAGAACATTCAACTTTGCCCCATTCTCCCAACAGCTAGTTAATTCCCACATAATGGAAGGTACATGCAGTTTTACTGGATGAATAATTATACAAAGACCCCTAAGATTTGTTCAGGTGATAAGGATAATTGCAGACCCTCCTGTTCAGGAATCAGCCAGCAAAGGACATAGTGAAACAAATGGCTATTTCTTCAGAACAGAAAAAGGAAGGAATTTCCAACAAAATATGTTAAAATCCTTTCAAAGTACATATGTTACCCAGAGGGGACTTTTTTATCAATATAAAGAAGAGTTAAACAAAGGACATAGACATAAACATACCTTTTCAAAATCAAATGTTGGATTGTTTTCTTCCTCCTTTGAATCAATAATTATCTGTAAAGGGAAAAAGATGTGATACATTATAAATATTTATATATACATATAAATTTAAATTTTGACAGACGTTCAGGTGAGCATCCCAGATTGCAGACAGTGTTTGTTTAGGGCCGCATAGCCACACACCTGTGAAATTTGGACAAGTGGCTGTAAAGCTGCTTTACCCCCATACACCTACACAGGATGCCGCACAGAGCACCTGGAGGTTCAAGCTGCAAAAACACGTGGCCTGTTCACCAACTATGGACCTCAGCATCCGTGTGAATGAGGCCTTAAAGTGTATGTCCAGCCAAAACTTTATTTGTAAATTTGGTATAGATTTGGGAAGGATTAGAATTAGAAGTCAGGTTTTACCTATATCCAGGCAGATTTGCCTTACTTACTTTCCTAGAGACTACAGATTTACTACTTGCCAACAACAACACAGATTGAAACTAATGGTGCACCGAAATGCTGTTGCCAAAACCATAAATTCAAAATGCACTTGGCCGAAAAGGCAATGTGCAGTTTTTAAAAATGAATATATATTTTTTGGAAAAAAATACACTGATTAAAAAAAAAAAAAAAATATATATATATATATATATATATATATATATATATATATATATATATACACACACACACACACACACACACACACACACACACACAGACCCCAATTTGGTTGTAAAACATGATAGAGGATGTTATGGAGAGTAAATAGATATCCAACATGTCACGCTTTAAGACTGCGCAAGCTCGTGGAATGGCGTGAAACTGCGGTACTTAAAAATCTCCATGAGGGATGCTTTAAAAATTTCTACAGGTTAGCATTGTAAAGTTACAGAGGAGGTCTAGCGCTAGAATTATTGCTCTTGCTCTGATGTTCGTGGCGATACCTCACGTGTGTGGTTTGAACACCGTTTACATATGTGGGCATGGCCTACGTATGTGTTCACCACTACACGTGAGCACGGGGGGACGGGGGCACTTTAAACTTTTTTTATTATTATTTATTTAATGGGTTTTTGTGCACGGTCCATTTAAAAAAAATTTTAATCACTTTTATTCTAATCACAAGAAATGCATGCATCCCTTGTGATAGAAATAATTAGTGACAGGTCCTCTTTATGGAGAGATATGGGGTCAATAAGACCCCATATCTCTCCTCTACAATGTAAATCATTGGATAAAAAAAAAAGCATTGATCTAGCGCACAAAAATGGCCAGAATGGGAAGTGACATCGTTCTGGTCCTCCAAAGGAATAGAGAAGAGTGGCGGCCATCTTACCTTCACTCATCTCTATCCCCAGTGCCGGGATCAATGGTTTCTCATGTAAGGCTGAGAACTACCGAGCGGCGGGCGGCGGCGAGGAGCAGTGTTTTTACAGCACCTGTATCGGTGCTTGTTTTCATTTTGGCCAACTGCCGAAAGGGGTGTTTTCTGCCAAAATGTTTCAGCCACTGAAATTTCAGTGCATCCCTAATTGAAACGTTTTTTTTTAGTAATACTGAGGAAGACTAGAACCTCCATATCCTGTGTGTGTCCCTGTAGCAGATTTTTCCTCATTTCCTGTCTGGACCATTGTCACTGTAACAATAAGTGAGGGGAAATCTCCCAAATAGAACCCCAGATAGCCTCCATCCATCAGACAATGGCTCAGGAGTAAAAAGTAGAAGATTTGAATCAGATGGAGGACTTAATCCTGACTTCTCAACACAAACAAGAACAGGGATGTATAGCCCGATGCCTGAGACATGCAGTTCCAAGCACTGGGCTAGAGGTTTTTCCTTATATTTAGCTCTGCTGCGGGCAAGCAGCAGGAATTAGAACTGATGGTCGGCTGTCTTGTAAAAGAAATCTGAGCGGCTAACTATCCACTGGATTGCTTTTACAAGCGTGAGCTGTCCTGTCGCACCAGGACACCTGATCGACCATCTGGTGCTTCCCCTGGCTGATCAAAAAAATGGACAAAGATTGGAACCGCTCTGTCCACCTCTGATATAGGAAGCAGGAAGAGATGAGCATACATCACTTCCAGTTTCCCCGGAAGTAAATGGTGGCATTTTTAAAAAATGGAAAGCATTTGATCACACCGATCTTGTGTGATCAAATCCTTTTAAAGGACAGAGGAGGGATCTGGGGGGCTCTCGATAAAGAGCATCTGTCACTGCCTATTGCTGTCACAAGGGCTATTTACATTCCTTGTGACAGCAATAAAAGTGATCAAAAAAGAAAGAAAAAAAAAATGACAGCAACAGTGTTAAAATAATAAAGAATTTAAAAAAAATGTTTAAAGTACCCCCGTGCGCAAAGGCAAACGCATGTGTCGGTCCTGCACACATGCAAACAGCATTCGGTCCACACATGTAATGCATCACCTAAAATGTCAGCTCACTGGGCAGTAATTCCAGTACCAGACCTCCTCTGTAAATCATAATGTCGCCTATGGATAGTAAAATGTATGTTGTTTGTTGCCACTGCATGGGCGTGCACAATTTTAAAGCATGATGTTTTGGTATCTATTTATTCAGAGTAACATCATCTTTTATATTTTACCACAAAATTAGGTTTAGTATTGTGTTTTTTGCGTTAAAAATCAAAAAAGTGTATTTTTACCCAAAAAAATTGCGTTTGAAAAAGTGCTGCGCAAATACTGTGTTACATTAAAAAAAAAAAAACCCAAATTTATTCTCTAGGGAACCTTTTTTTTAAAAAAAAAAAAAACCAAAATATATATATATATAATTTATATCTCTAAGAAATGGCAGTTTAACGCCTGCTTTTTTTTTTAAAAGCACCTCTGCCTAATTAAAAAATCAAATTTTCCATCCTGGCAAAAAAAAATTTTATCAGGACAAGCAGATTGTCATGACGGACAAGTAGATTGGAACCCTGATTTAGTCCTTGGACAAGTACTTTCTTAAAAAATGTCCACACCCCTGAAGAAGTGTATTCCAAAAACATGGAGTCTGTGGAATATGTTTATCTATTCTGAGGAGGGCAAAGCTCTCTTTTATTTGAGTCCTATTAAGTGTGGTGGCATCCTCTACCTTCCTGTGGATTGAACCAGTTTTTTTTCTCCATAATTATCCCCCCCCCACCTTTTTATCTTCGCTCCTATAGCTCTTCTTTGCTGCCTGTTATATTATGTAATGGGTAATAAAAAGTGTTTGGGGCAGTACTCTGCTCCCCATTGGGCAGTTACAGTCAGCTACTCTGTGGATCCGGAGCTACGGTAACCCAGGGTACACATTTTGATCCTCCATAGTGATGTTTTTTGTACACTGCACTTTTTAGTTTCCCTATGATATGGTTTGAGGTGATTGTAGCTGTTTTAGTGCATTTGCGACAGAAACAATTGAGTACTGTCCGTGATACTTTTTTTATTTGCACTAACATACAATTTTGAGTACAAGCTTTCGGGGTATGTCCCTTTCTTCAAAGTCCAAGCAGTACTGTACAAATCACAAAGTTTAAGCAGAATGTTAGAAGAGATGAAGAAAAAAAAAAAAAAAAGAGAGGATAGAGATAAGATACAGCCCAAGCGAGGGGGGAGGGGGGGATACTACACTCACACAGAGGGAGTCAAGCTTCAGCTAATAGTTATAAAACTGTTGGAAAATGAGTGAGGAATCCCATGTCCAAATTAAGGCCATTATCTCTTGTGTCAAATAGAATTAGTTCAGTTTTTCCTAGTTCAAAAGTTTTTCTTTCCTGGATGGATTTGAAATTTCCTTTAAGAACTTAGTTAGAGATAACGCCTTAATTTGGACATGGGATTCCTCACTCATTTTCCAAAAAGTTTTCTAACTATTAGCTGAAGCTTGACTCCTTCTGTGTGAGTGTAGTACCCCCCCCCCTCACTTGGGCTGTATCTTATCTCTAGCCTCTCTTTTTTTTTTTCCCTTCATCTCTTCTAACATTCTGCTGAAACTTTGTGATTTCTACAGTACTACTTGGACTTTGAAGGGGACATACCCCGAAAGCTTGTCCTCAAAATTGTATGTTAGTGCAAATAAAAAAAAGTATCGCATCAGTACTCAATTGTTCCTATGATATGGGAATTCTAGATGTGCATATTTGATCTGATTGTTAATGTTACTACTTCTTGTACCTGATCGTAGGACTGAATCCTGCTTTACTATTTGGAATTCTACATATTGTCTGTAACGGATATTGCCTTCTTTTTAATAAAAGTAAATTTGCAAAAACAAAAAACCAAGATAGTAGTAAAAAACTGACAGAGGATCCAACAGTCCTTCGCAATATCCAAAGCAAAAAAACATAAAACTCTTGGCTAGACTTACACTTTAACAGTCCTCGAAAAATATCTGCACAAAGTTACATGCTCGCTTACTTTAGAATCTCTGTCTTGTACTTCACCGCTCTTGGCTTGCTTTTTATCTTTACGACTGACAAATGTTACAACTTCAACATGAGATTTTGAGACAGAACTGCTCGGAATATCAGTGCCTTTTGGCTGGCTGCTCAATTCGTCCTTGATAGCGTTAAAGAAAAAAGATGGATTTTTCTTTCCCCGTCTAGAACTGTGAATTTCCAAAATAGGTAGTGGATGTTCCCCAGAGCCATTCACTTCTTTTGTTTTAATAGCAAGTGGAGCGCCTTCTTCACTTTCAGATATTGTCACTTTGGAAGGCTCAAAATCATCACCTGTCAACATTCAGAAAATATATAAATACATAATAAAATACAGTTAAAACAGAAAAAAAAAAAAGAATTACATACATCTCTGCATACATAATTAGCTCAGCTACATTATCCGCAGTCTACTGATCCACAGGTAGATACAAACCGCTGAAAAAAAAATAATATGTGTTTGTTATGGGTTATTACAGCTTAGTGTGTACTGGATTATTAATCAAGCTTCATATAGCCCATCAATATTCACCGTTCCAAAAAAATTAAAGGAACACTTTAAAAACACATCAGATCTCAATGGGAAAAAAATATCATGCTGGAATGCCCCATTGTTTGATGGAAATGAAAATTATCAACCTACAGAGGACTGAATTCAAAGACACCTGAAAATCAAAGTGAAAAAATGATGCAGCAGGCTAGTCCATTTTGCTGAATTTTCATTGCAGCAACTCAAAATGGTACTCAGTAGTTTGTATGGCCCCCACGTTCTTGTATGCATTCCTGACAACATCGGGGCATGCTCCTAATGAGACGACGGATGGTGTCCTGAGGTATTTCCACCCAGATCTGGACCAGGGCATCACTGAGTTCCGGGAGGGATAGTCTGAGGTGCAACCTGGTGGCATTGGATGGACTGAAACATGATATCCCAGAGGTGTTCTATTGGATTTAGGCCAGGCGAGCGTGGTGGCCATTCAATGGTATCAATTCCTTCATCCTCCAGGAACTGCCTGCATACTCTCGCCACATGAGGCCGGGCATTGTCGTGCAGCAGGAGAAACCCAGGACCCACTGCACCAGCGTAGGGTCTGACAAAGGGTTCAATGATTTCATCCTGATACCTAATGGCAGTCAGTGTGCCATTGTCTAGCCTGTAGAGGTCTATGCGTCCCTCCATGGATATGCCTCCCCAGGCCATCACTGACCCACCACAAACAGTCATGCTGAACGATGTTACAAGTAGCATAACATTCTCCAGGACTTCTCCAGACCCTTTCATGTCTGTCACATGTGCTCAGGGTGAACCTGCTCTCATCTGTGAAAAGCACGGGCACCAATGGCAGACCTGCCAATGGCTAATGCCAATCGAGCTCTATGATGCGAGCAGTGACCACAGGGCCCACTAGAGAACGTCGGGCCCTCAAGCCACCCTCATTAAGTCTTTTTCTGATTTTTTGGACAGAAACATTCACACCAGTGGCCTGCTGGAGGTCATTTTGGAAGACTCTGGCAGTGCTCATCCTGTTCCTCCTTACACAAAAAGCAGAGCAGATACCGGTCCTGCTGATGGGTTATGGACCTTCTACGGCCCTGTCCAGCTCTCCTAGAGTAACTGCCTCCTGGAATCACCTCCATGCTCTTGAGACTGTGCTGGGAAACACAGCAAACCTTCTGGCAATGGCACGTATTAATGTGCCATCCTGGAGGAGTTGGACTGCCTGTGCAACCTCTGTAGGGTCCAGGTGTCGCCTCATGCTACCACTAGTGACACTGACCCTAGCCAAATGCAAAACTAGTGAAAAAACAGTCAGAAAAGATGATGAGTACGGAAAAGAAATGTCAGTGGCCTCCACCTGTAAAACCATTCCTGTTTTCGGGATTGTCTCATTGTTGCCCATCTAGTGCACCTGTTGTTAATTTCATTAATACCAAAGCAGCTGAAACTGATTAACAACCCCCTCTGCTACTTAATTGGCCAGATCAATATCCCAGGAGTTTAACTGACTTGACGCTATACTCTGATTAAAAAGAGTTCCTTTAATTTTTTGAGCAGTGTATATGTATGACCAATAAATTCCTGTTGAATCAAAGACCAAATCACAAGCTTACGAGGGTTTGAATCTCAGCCAGTTCAGAAAGGACTGGTCAAGATTCTAACCATGTATGGGCAGGACGATTGTACTCAAGTTGATCCATCAATCGACTTGGGTACAACCAGCATGTCAGATAGCATGAGATTATTGCAAGCGGCTATAGCCACAAGCAATAACCACTGTGTTTCTCCTGGCAGGGACGGCTCCCTGAGCACCCCCCTTCCCCAACCAGAGAACACAATAGCTCCGTGGGAGAGACTCCCCCATCAACACTGACTGTGTTGATAGGGAAATCGAGTGATTTTCTTTCCTGCAACAAGTGGTTGCAGGAAAGAATATTGCATCATCCATGGCCTGCCTTAGGGCCTTTTCACAGGCGTTTCCGATCGGGTCTGCCTGTTTGTTTTTTAGGCAAACTCGATCAGACCCTCTATTCTCCTTTATGCAACGGCGGGTGTAAAAAACATCCCCTTAGCATTTCTGGCAGTGGCCGTCTTGAATAATTGCAGATGATTCATGTAGCATTTATTTCCTGAAATCCATCTGTCCTTAGCTCAGACATGCCAGCAAGTTTTGGGTCTGATGAAGAAGGGGTTACCTTCAAAACGTGTCAGCTGTTAGGGACCCTGGTGAGGTTCCAATGTATCCTGGATTATGCCAAGTCTAGGACGACTGGACTACAAATGAATGCTCAATCAGCGATTTTAATTCACATATTTGGGAGTATATTTTATGTTGATTTTAAATAAATGCTTTGGGATAATGCACTAGGTTGGTGCGCCCTTTTCTGTTTGTTTGAAAGCCCCTCCTTCAGATGAAAGAAAAAAAAGCCCATGAAAACTCCTGGGATGTATGACGTCACTGGCCTAGGCCAGAAAACAGGATGCAACTGAGGAAATGTAAAAAAAAAAAAAAAATGTTTAAAAGTAAACATAGTATACCTTACTATCTGTTTATTAATACTAGCAGCATAAGGATTGGAAATAGCTAATGCTGATTGAGAATGTTTAGTTCCATATCAGGTCACCTGTTACGGGATAGGGAGATTCACTGTATGGATATTTTTTTGTTGTGCCTGAAGTTGGGATTTAAAGCGGTTCTACAGTCAAAATTAAAACAAGTAAAATAAATAAATGAATAAAAGTCAGCAGCTACAAAAACTGTAGCCACTGACATTTAAAAAACAGCCACTCAGCTGTCCCTCGATCCCACAGTGTGCTCAAACCAGCCGGGGTCACCGGCCATCCTGTGTCCCTGGCACCTTCAATGTGAACACCTGGCTGTGACAGCTTGTGGCCTCACAGCTGGGTGCCCAGTGCACATACGTAAGTGGCACTGCACTTTGTGAATGGTCCTGTAGTCTTCTGGGACCTGTCATGGGTCCCAGAACACTACGGGGATAGAGAGAGAGGGGTGGGGGGACAGGACAACTTCTGCTTCTGATCGCCTAGTCCAGGGTCTCCAATCTTTGTAAACAAAGGGCCAGTCCTTCAGTCTTTAGGGGGGCTGGACTATGGCCAATGGGAAAACAAAATGTCTCAGCATCAGTGGGAGTAAACAATCCCCTATCATGTCTCAGCATCAGTGGGAGTAAACAATCCCCTATCATTGTGTGACAGTGGGAGAAATTGTGCCTCATCATTGGTGTCATTGAACCCCACTGTTGGTGTCATGGGGGGGGGGGGGGGGACTATGCCCCATCATTTATCGCATTAGGAGGAATTATGCCTTTCACTGGTGTCAGTGAATTAAGTAGCATCCCAAGTGCCAGATAAAAGCAAGCAAAGGACAGCAATTTGGAGAGCAATGGACTAGTCGATCGTAGCCAAAGTGGGAGTGGGTACCTGTCAAATTTGGGTACCCCCCCACCACCACACTCCCCAAAGGTGCCAATCCTAAATGGGGAGCAGGAGATGAAGACTTAAAGCAGAACTTCTACTTTTGGGTGGAGCTCTGCTTTAATCTATGAGAATATTTCTGGAGTGCAAGAAATACATACTTATATATAAAAGAAACATATACTGTGAGTGTTTGGCATACATTCACGTACTGCGAAAAAGCGCAAATGTGCTCAGAAATGTTTCAGCAAACTAAATAAAGATGACCTCACATGGATAAATAAAACTGAAAGATATGATGTCGGATTTGACAAAATGACAAGCCAGATGCAGGGGCGGACTGACAACTCATGGGGCCCCTGGGTAATAGGGGATCATGGGGCCCCTGTGTCTTTGGCCAAACTCAAAAAAGCCTATGAAAAAAGTACCAGGGGCATCTCATGGGGCCCCCTACTCACCCCAGATGAAAATGCTATGGCTGAGCAATCAGTGACAGATAATGACGGTATTGATCTTTCAAGCTGTTCATTGGAGGTGGAAAAAAAGCCGTACTAGTCGACTGGAGTTTTTTTTTTTGCACAAGTGTAGAAAAATCGCCATTGACTGACCACGTACAATTTTTTTTTCCCGCCATAACCAATCAGCATGGTTAGGACAAAACTGCCAGTACTTGTCAGTCACGCCATTTTTATCTCGCTCGATCTTCAATTTGATTGTTTTGTCGAATTGGCCAATAATTGTTCATTTTTCTCCCCCCTTGTGTGGCCCCCATAAAGTTTAGTTGGGGGTTTACATCTACTAGAAGGAGCAGCAGGGAAAGAGGAGCCAATCATATTGGGGTTGTGGCACAGATCGGGGATTAGGAGGCTCCCTGCTGATGGAGTCATTCACTTACCGAAATCATACAGATTGCTGAGAACGGAATCCAGCTGATCCTGGACATGTCCTTCCCTCTCTCTCTCTGCCATTGTAGCGGACATCACTGGACTGAGATCCAGGAACACATCAACACAAACACGTGGAACAAGAGCTAACCGGAAGTCCCCGATCCGTACCCAGACTCTGTCCCCAGCAGTTCCCGTCCACTCGCTATCTGACTAGGTTTGTCCTGCACTGCTCCCGTAGCTGTCAAAATGGCCCTCGCCCTGCCAGTTGGAGCGATCCCCGCCTCTTCCTGTGCCTGGGTCCGACCACTTCACCCGGTGTGTGTGGAGGAGAGGAGGAGGACGATGATCACTGAGCTGACAGATCGCTGAAGGGGAATAGTGGCAGCAATGGCGGCAGCTGTGGGCACCCCGTATTTAGTAAGTGGGGGACTCCTCCATCTATTAGGAATGAATGAGGAGTGCTGGTCTCCTATGACAGCTCTGGAAGTCTTCTTGTTCCTTTAGTACTTGGATCTCCACTCTGGCAGTCTGATTGGAGAATCCTCCATCATGTATGTTATGTCTTCCCATCACACAGCATGCCTGATCATCAGAAATATTCCAAGATCTTTAATTGCTGAAAAAACTCATTGTCCAGGAACTAAATCCAGGTCCCAGTCTACTTGTCCTGATTAAAAAGAAAAAAACCCCAAAACTTAAAAAAAAAATTTAAATCTGAGGTGCTTTAATCCCCCAGTCACATTGTATGCGACTTGGCATGCAATTTGCAAATCATATGGCAGGTCGCACCCTATTGTCCGCTATTAGAACGGTCATATTGGTGCGATTCCGACTTGGTCGGAGCCGCACCGATTTCTAAAGTAGTGCATGTATCACTTTTGGTGCGATTTGCATAGATATCTGTGCCAGATGTCTTGCAAATCGCAATGAAATCGACAGGTCACTAATTCTTTAAATCGCGCGACTTCACTGTAAGTCGCACGATTTACAAAATCGGCTTTGATGTGACCGAGGTGTAAGGAATGTCTGGGGCTTTTAAAAACAAAAGAGGCTTTATGGCGACTTAAATGTTTAAAGTGATTTTAATCTAACACCCCAGTTACATCGGATGCGACTTGGCATGCGATTTGCATGTCCCGCGAATTGCAAATTGTATGCACCCTATTGTCCGTACTTAGAGCTGTCAAATCGTGCGGTTCCGATCAAGTTCTTGATCGGAGCCGCACCGATTTCTAAAGTGGCGCATGTACTACTTTTGGTGCGATTTGCATAGACATATGTCAGATGTCTTGCAAATCGCACCTGAAATCGACATCTCACCTGACTTTGAAATTGTGTGACTTCACTGTAAGGCCGACCATACATGGGTCAATTTTCGAATGATTTTTTGTTCGAAAATTAGACCTAAGAATAAATCGGCCGATTTTCGCTCTGTTAGTGGGGCAATGGCATCGGCCAATTTTCGTGGTTCTTCCCCATTTTGTTTATTGGGCATGCTGGAAAATGCGTGAAAAACGACCGATTTTCTAAATCATTGTTGGCACCATCGGATTACAGAACGAATTATGTTTTCAGTCAAAAAATCGTTTGGAATTCGACCCATGTATGGTCTGCTTTAGCCGCTCGATTTCAAAGTCGGGCTTGATGTGACCCGGGTGTAAAGGCTTCATTTAAAAAAAAAAAAAAAAAAAAAACACAAACATGTCTATAATTACCTGCTGTGTGCATTGGTTTTGCACAGAGCAGCCTGGATCCTCTTCTCGGGTCTTCTGCCGGCGCTCCTGTCACGGCACGTAAGTATATTTGAAAGCAGTGGGTGCCCCCATAGCAAGCTGTTTGCTGGGGGGCACACCCAGCAAACAGCTTGCTATGGGGGCATCCACTGCTCCGTGTGTCCATTCACACTCAGAGCTGCGGCTCAGCCCCACCCTGCCCCCTCTCTCTTCTCATTGGCTGACTGGCTGTGATTGACAACAGTGGAGGCCAATGGCTCCCGCTTCTATCTCTGCCAATGAGGAGAGGGAGTCCTGGCATAGCCGAGACTCTAGTGCACATCACTGGATCGAGAAGGGGCTTAGATGAGTATTATGAGTAGGGTTGCCACCTCATCCCTTTCAACCCAAACACATATTGATTACACAGGTTCTGAGGCTAATTTAATCCAGATAAGGCACCAAGTGAGTTTATTTATCACCTTAATCAGCCATGGAACCTGTGTAATCAATATGTGTTCAGTTTTAAAAAGATGAGGTGGCAACCCTAATTGGGGGGGGGGGGGGAGCTGCACAGAGACGGTTGTTTACCTTCATGCATAGAATGTATGAAGGTAAAAAAAAACCTGGAGCCTTTAATATTTTTACCATTGCACTGTGTGCCTCATCCTCCCCTCCCTGCCTCTCTCCAGCACCGCACCCGGGGACTAGCAGGGAGGGAAGAGACCTTGCAGTGTAATGAGCACCGATTGGGTGTTTGTCAGGAAAGGGGAGTGCCAGGCTTATCCTTTTTCCCTTTCACTGCCTGAGCCATTTGTGCGTTTTTGCACACGTTTAAAAAATAATTTTAGGCCTGAAGATTACACAAAACCCCCAAACATTATATATTTTCTGAAAGCAGACACCCTAGAGAATAAAATAGTGGTGGTACCAAATTATTATGTCACACGATATTACCACAGAAGTCTAGGAAATGCAAAAGAAAAAAAAAATACACTTAAGTTAATTTTAGGGCACAAAAAAAAGCAATACATTACCCAATTTTTTTGTAAAATTTAAAAGATGCCCATATGGAATAAAAATAAATTTGAAATACATTTTAACCACATGCCGCCCAGCCACTGTAAAAATACGGCAGCAGGGCAGCACGGCTGGGCAAAACCACATTTTAAAACGTGTGTTTTTAAACCAGTTAGGGGGTGCGCACGAGGCACGCCGCTGCCCTATCTGTCCCGCCGATCACAGCCGCGGATGTCAGTCGCCGTGTCACAGCCGGTCGTTACTGGCTATGTCCCGGCGATCGGCGGCAATCGCTGACAGAGAGCACAGCTGCAGTAGCTGTGCTTTCTGTCAGTTCCCTGACAGCTCCAGGACAAGCTGATCGGGACAGAAGAGTTTCTCCCAATCAGCGGTGATCCCTGAAGTACACACCCCCGCCCCCTAGTAAAACACTCCCCTCACACAGTTAACCCTTTCCCTGAATAATAAACTTAACCCCTTCCTCCCCAATGCCATTAGTACAGTGTCAGTGGTTTTTTTTTTTTGCACTGATCACTGTATTGGTGTCACTGGGGATGTCAGTGACCCCAAGTCAGTACCCCCCAATGTCAGAATGTCCGCCGCAGTCCCGCCATAAGTCGCTGATCGGCGCCATAAGTCACTGATCGCCGCCATAAGTCACTGATTGCCGCCATAAGTCACTGATCGCTGCCATTATTAGTATGAAAAAAAAAACTTCACATAAACCAATTAATTTACATGTATTAGTTTTTTTTTTTTTTAGCAAAGACATGTCGCAGAATGCATTTTGGCAGAAATTTATGACTAAATTTGATTTTTAAATTTTTTTTTTTACTGGACATGTTTTATAGCAAAAAGTCCAAAATATTGGTTTTTTTTTCCTCAAAATTGTCAGCCTTTTTTTTTTTATAGCGCAAAAAATAAAAACCGCACAGGCGATCAAATACCACCGAAAGAAAGCTCAATTTGTGGGAAAAAAAAGGATGTAAATTTCATTTATGTACCGTTTTGCATGACCGCGCAATTGTCCGTTAACCTCCCTAGTGGTATTCCCGAGTGTAGCTCGGGGTAAAATGTCAGTGCCAAAAGCGATAACCCCGAGCTACACTCGGGCTTACCAATGCGGCGCTGCATAGGGAGTCCCTGCAGAGCTTACCTTGTCCTTCGCTCCTGCGATATGTCCCCTGCAGCGTCCCCGGGCAATCTCCTACGGCCAATGCCGGCATCCGGCTTCTGTGTTCCGGTCCCTGTGACGTCGGGACATACAGGCGCCGCTGGGGGCGGGCGGGAAATTTGAAAATTTTAAAAAATTTAATTTTTTTTTAAAACAAATTTTTCATAGTAAAACATTGCCGTTTCAACCCATTTCACATACATTTTGTCCCTAGTGCTTTGTCCTGTGCCCTGCCTACATTTTGTCTGTTCTTTCTGCCTGGAAACTGAGAAACGTCCATGGCGTCCAAAAAGTGTCCCTTTAGGTCAAAAGCGGGTTTAGATCAGCTAGAGAACAGCGATAGTAAATCAGAACCACTTGCAGAATTGAGTGATAATGATTCGTGGGGAAATTCGTCATCAGACACTGAAAACGATTTTGCGACTTTGCTCAGCGATGTGCGAACTTGGCGCTCTATTTCAAATTTCAGTGTTTTCGGTTTGATTATATTATTGAATTAAATGTATTATTATTATATTATTATTTTTTATGATTATTTATTAAATTATAATTTATGATTTTGTGTTTCAAATTTTATCCTACCTGGGATGTTTACTAGACTCTTGTTTGGACAGATTTCAGTGAGTTATTCCTAAAAATTACAGCCTACAATAAAAAAACTACATATTTCCATGTAAAATAATGGTACCGCTTTCAGCATCAAAAATCTGAAATAATCATAACGCTAGGGAGGTTAACCTAGCGCAGCGCTGTATAGCAAAAAAATGGCGTAAATTGCAGTATCTATACCATAGTTTGTAGACGCTATAACTTTCACACAAAGCAATCAATATACACTTATTGGGATTTTGTTTTTACCAAAAACATGGAGCAGAATAAATTTTGGCCTACATTTATAACTAACTTTGAGTTTACTATATATTTTTTATAGCTGAAAGTAAAAAAATATAGTTTTTCTTCAAAATCTTTGACCTTTTTTGTTTCATAGCGTGAAAAATAAAGCACACAGGTGATTAAATACCACCAAAAGAAAGCTCTATTTGTGTGAAAAAAAGGACGTAAATTTCGTTTGGGTGCAGCATTGCATGACTGCGCAATTATCAGTTGAATTAGTGCAGCGCCGAGTAGCAAAAAGAGTCCTGGTCATTTAGGGGGGGTAAATCCTCTGGAGGTCAAGTGGTTAAAAATTTTCTTGCCAAATATTTGAAATGCAACAATTTTGGCCATATTCATTATGTTTATATATATATATATATATATATATATATATATATATATATATATATTGAAATGTTGTTTTTATTACAAAATATATGAAAAATATTTTTAAAAATACATTTCAAATATACTGTATGTCTTTAAAAATACAAATCTACATTTTTGGAATGCATTTAAAAATATATGTAAAAATATGTTAAAATTACTTTTTTTTTTGTTAAAAAAAAATCTGAAGAATATATTTAAAAAAAATATATATTTTTAAAGATATTTAAAAATCCCTGGATCAGTGAATCGGCATCCTGGTGCCTGACAGCGGACGGCTGACAAAAGCCCAAGTGCCAGGCCATAATTTCTATTCGCCATAGTGACCTGGCGCCTGGTATTTGTCGAGCCCTGGCATAGGTTCACATCTGTGCACGTTTGTGTGGGCATGGCAACCCATTCATCATTTACCAAAGGAAAAAGGTTCGTATACCATCTTGGAAACACAGGGTCCGGAAAATGGCATGATGATTTTGCACCATGCAATTTCCCTGCGGTTTTCTGCACCCACGGGTTGAGATGTGTTGGGGTGCCAATAAGAATGAATGGCAGCCCTGAGTATCTCTACAGAGCAGCACATTTTGGTTTTGGGAACAGCTGTGATTCCTGCACCCGCAACCAATCGCACATAGTGTGAACCTAGACTTAGTGCTCTGGATTGAGATAGGTACACACCATACAGGGATATGCTTTGTTCATTTTTCCATGCCAGAGGTTTACACCACCTAAAGACTTTTTTTTTTTTTTTCCCCTTAAGTAAAAAGATGTTATACTTACCTGCTTTGTTCAACAATATTGCACAGAGTGGTGCCTTACCTTCTCTTCTGTCAGTCCTAACTGGTACTGCCAACTTTTCCAGGTGCCTCCTTAGCAAGACCTGTGCTAAGGGGGCACCTGGCTGGGCAAGCTCCTGAGTAGAACTTTGTGCATCCATAGACACACTCAGTGCCGGTAAGCCCTGCCCCCACTCCCTTTTCAGGATTTTGCTTGATAGCAGCAGGAGCCTGTGGCTTCTGCAGCCGTCAGTGTCCTGAAAGCAGGGAGAGAGGAGCTTTCCTCTAGCCAAGACAGCACTGGAGCAGTGAGCCATGTAAGTGTTTAGAGATGGGGGCTATAGGACAGATAATGGCGTGTTTTTACCGTAATACAGAGAATATATTAGGGCACAAAAAAACCTTTTAGACTTTAAAGCCACTTTCAAAGGTGTGGTTGGGGTGGTAAAAACACAGGTAAACTGCCTATTTTTACTTTCCCCAATCACAAGTGTAAATGAAGCCTTATACTTCTAGCTGTTTCTTTGAGGTTTGTACACAGGACTCTATGGGGTAGTTTGACATTGTTTAGAATAGATTGTAATGTGCAATTATGCGTCGTTCATGCAGGGAATATTTATGCTTGCACCCACGTGAGGGTCATCTTTGTCTGCATTGCACAGGTGTTTCATGCATCTACGTACAGGCAGTGCCATTCATGTCTATTGGGACACAGTGGCTGAATGCACACAGCTGCTGGTCCCAACTTGACAGCCATGTGGGCTTGTGTCCCCAACAGTATACATTCAGGGAGCTGCTAACTGAATTTAAACAAAAAACAAAATGCCATATCATAGGGTATAACTACCCATTAAATTTCTCTGACTCACCATATATAAAAGTGTGGATTTTCTAAACTGAACACTTATACAAAAAAGGAAAGCAGTTGACAAGGGCAAACTGAAAAAAGATCAGTATCTAAATCCATAGCAGAGTAAAGAATACATCCAAACAGATGCAAAACAATCACTTTATTATGATCACAGTGATCCTTTTGAAGGATGGGCTTAACACAGGCCATAGACGAGGCGAAAACTGGCTCGGCCGACGTTACCACCATTGGTAAAAAAAATTGGCAGATTTTCGTCCCATCTACGGCCGGCAAATATAATAGCGGTGTCCCTGCAGAGAGCTCCGCTATTATATTTTTTAAACGTATAGCAGAGTTGCAACATTGTATCTATTTGTATCCATTTCGGATACAGATGTTTCTAATCAGATACAAATAGATACAATGTTGCAACCGCAATACTTTTAAATGTAATAGCGGAGCTCTCTGCAGGGACACTCGCTATTATTTTTGACATTTAAAAGTATTGCAGTTGCAACATTGTATCTATTTGTATCTGAATAGAAACATCTGTATCCGAAATGGATACAAATAGATACAGATGTGTTCTTCTTTTTCTTTGTATTCATCTTCTTCTTCTTTTACTTCTTTTCCTTCTTCTTGCAGGTCACGGCTCATGTGCATTTTTTTTAATCGGTAAAAAGATCGGCCGATTTGCCCATCATTGCCGTGTCGATCGGCCGTTTTTTTTCCCAACATAACCAATGAAAAAAAGTGTCAAAATCATGAAAAACGGCCAACAAATTCACCTACTAACGATCCGAAAATCGGCCGATTAATCTTTCGGACGAATTTTCGGCCGATTTTTGACCCATCTATGGCCTGCTTAAGACATGGTGGACACACAGTAAATCAGACAATAAAATTAGTGTGATTAAAAAGAAAAACAGAAGTCCAGCGCAATCACTTAGCTGAATAGTAGAAAGACAGTGGGAGGCTAGGCAACCGATTACAATAACCGTCTGGGAGAAGTATCTTCAGTATATGATGCAGGTGGCAGAGCTGCAGAGAGTCATAGAAAGTACATTTCTTATATGATCAAGATGTTTATTCTTCATGATGGGATAACTTAACTGAGCAAGGATGAATAACTTCACTTTCCTAGTATAATCATTAATTCTGGGTGTGGAGGAAGCATATGAAGTAAATCCTGGAAAATCAATGATAGCGATGAGTGATATGTGAAGAAATAACCATCTCATAGATTAGATCAAGGATAATCACTATGTGATTATTATATGTCAATGATTTGACCAATATATGTTTATTTACTATAGATCTAAGCCCTTTTATTGCTGTTTATAGCTACAACTTCACTAAAGTGGCCGATAGTGATTGGCTTAGCATTGCTACATCTTTCATCCTCAAGTTACTTCAATAATGATGAGACACTGTGAAGGTAATACTTGCAATATTGCTAACATTGAGTCCTATCCACGCAGGTCTATTATTAGATTTATCCTGTATTTCCTTGACCTTCCATTATCCTTGATCTAACCTATGAGATGGTTATTTCTTTACATATCACTCATCGCTATCATTGATTTTCCAGGAGTTACTCCATATGCTACCTCCACACCCAGAATTGATGATTATACTAGGAAAGTGAAGTTATTCATCCTTCCTCAGCTTGTTATCCATGGAAAACAGCAAGTTATTATTATACAGGATTTATATAGCGCCAACAGTTTGCTCAGTGCTTTACAATATAACGGGAGACAATACAGTTCAATACAAGAGGGTTAGGAGGGCCCTGCTCCTTGGAGCTTACAATCTCGGAGGGAGGGGCTAGTGGTACAAAAGGTAGTAACTGTGGGGGATGGACTGGTAGGAAGAGTAGAAGATTCCATTATAAGCTGAGGGCAGGGTAGGTTCCCTGAAGAGATAGGTTTTCAGAGATTGCCTAAAAGTGAGCAGAGTAGGCGATAGTCTGATAAATTTGGGTAGAGAGTTCCAGAGGGAGGGGGAAGCTCTGGAGAAGTCCTGGAGATGAGCATGGGAGGAGGAGACAAGGAAGCTAGAGAGCAGGAGGTCCT